CCTTGACGTGGTAGGGGCCCAGCACGATCCAGCCACAGAAGCAGTAGCCCAGGTAGATCACGGCCACGCAGCAGCAGAACCGGATCACGTTGGGAAGGGCCACCCGGAGCGTGACGATGAGGATCTGGGAGGAAGGACGGGGACCTGTGAGACCCCAGGGACAGGGGACAGGGACCCTGAGACCCCAGGGACAGGGGACAGGGACCTGGGAGATCCCAGGGACAGGGGACAGGGACCCTGAGACCCCCAAGGTGAGAATGGGGACCTGGGAGACCCCAGGGTGAGGGGACAGGGACTGTGACACCCCAAGGATGGGGAGCTGTGAGACCCCAGGGACAGGGGACGGGGACCCTGAGACCCCAAGGTGAGGGGACAGGGACCTGGGAGACCCCAGTAAGGAGACAGGGACCCTGAGAACCCAGGGACAGGGGACAGGGACGGACCTGTGAGACCCCAAAATCTGAGAATGGGGACCTGGGAGACCCCAGCGACAGGGGACAGGGACCTGGGAGACCACAAAGTGAGGGGACAGGGACCTGTGAGACCCCAAATTCAAAGGACAAGAACCTGCAAGACCCCAAAATCTGAGAATGGGGACCTGTGAGACCCTGAGGTGAGGGGACAGGGACCCTGAGACCCCAATGTGAGGGGACAGGGACCCTGAGACCCCAATGTCCCCACCCCATGGCCCTGGGGACAAAGGAAGCAGCTGCGGGACAACCCCAAGCTCTCACCATCCCCAGCCCCTGGCACTGTCCCCTGGCATTGTCCCCTGGCAGGTGGCATTGTCCCCAGCCCTGGCTCTGTCCCCTGGGGAGTGGCACTGTCCCCTGGCACTGTCCCCTGGGGGTGACACCCCTGTGACTCACGTTGTACTTCTGGAAGAAGGTGAGGTAGCGGGTGACCCCCACCCCCTGGCACTGTCCCCTAGCATTGTCCCCTGGGGGGTGGCACTGTCCCCTGGGGGGTGGCACTGTCCCCTGGCTGGTGGCACTGTCCCCTGGCACTGTCCCCTGGGGGTGACACCCCTGTGACTCACGTTGTACTTCTGGAAGAAGGTGAGGTATCGGATGACCCCGACCCAGACGAGCAGCGTGGACGTGCCCAGCAGGATACTGCACACGTCGTACCCGGAGAAGTTCTGTGGGGACATGGGGGACGTTGGGGACATTTGGGGACATGGGGGACATTTGGGGACACAGGGGACACTGGGGACACTGTTGGGTGACAATGTCCCCTCCTGGAGCACAGGGGACATCCAGGACATTGTCACCAGGGCACTGCCAACACCCAGGGGTGGCTGTTGGGTGACAATGTCCCCTCCTGGAGCAGAGGGGACATACCCAGGGGTGGCTGTGGGGTGACAATGTCCCCTCCTGGAGGGCTC